TCATTTTTAAAAATCCAAAATAATATGAAGACTTAGCATAAAAGATAAAAAACATTAGTAGGTCATATTTATGTAAATGTATTTAAAATTATAAAAAAACTACAAAATAAGCAAAAATAAGTGTAATTTTATATAGAATTCATTTTGTGAAAAGCATCATAATTATTACAAAAAAAATAAGATTGTGAATGTAAAAATTATATACAAATAATGTATAATAAATGCAAAAATAGAGAACTTATAAATTTCTTAAGAGATTGCTTACAATTTTTTATTTTAGATTATAATTTTGTAAGATAAATAATATTTATTTGTTACAAAATTAAAGATGATGTTACAACTAGTTATAAATGGTAATAAATAAGCATCACAAGATTGCAACTAGTTATAACATTAATAAAAATTGAATTGTAACTAGTTACAACTAATAATAAATAAGCATTATATAATTATAACTAGTTGTAATATCATCTTTATGCAAAATATAAAATTTTTCTTGTCCAAACTACTAAATAAAAAATAAAAAATTTTAAAATTTTTGATAAAATAACTTATATTGGTAAATGATTGTTAATAATTTAAGTATCAGTAAAATATATCTGTCAGTTAAATAATTGTCTATTAAATAATTATTAGTAAAATAATTGTTAGTAAGTTAAATATAATCTCTTAGTTTATTATAATTTTTAAAGTTTAAACCAGTTATTGATATCTAATTATAACTGATTTTTTAAATCTTATCTTTTAAAGCATAAGTATAAATTAATTATAAAATATTATAGAAAAATTATAATATTTAATATCTAGTGATTATAAAAAAATAAAATAAAGTTTATTAGATTTGTCATATTAAGATATATCTAATAATAATAATACTCTGAATAGTTTAGTTTAGTCTGGATTATAGGCCAATCTGAAACTGAACTGAAAATTTAGGTTTGGTTCAGTTTAGATTATAAATCTTAAAAATGTCAATCTGAAACTGAATCGAACCGTAAACTGGTAAAAATTCAAACTGAACTGAAAATTTTGGATTAATCTGAAATTTTGAATCATTTAGAATGATAATTTCATCATTCTAATTAAATGATTTTTTATCGTTCATTTAGAATGATAACTTTAATCGTTCTAAATAAACGATTCGCTTATCATTTGTTTGGAATGATAATTTATCATTCTAATTAAATGATTCACTTATTATTCTTTTAGAACGATAGTTTCACATTCCAATTGAACGATTCTCTTATCATTCATTTGAAATGATAGTTTCATCGTTCTAATCAAACGATTTTCTTATTATTCATTTAGAATGATAATTTTATCATTCTAATCAAACGATTCTCTTATCATTCATTTGAAACGATAGTTTCATCGTTTCAAATGAACGATAACTTCAATTATTTTAAATGAACAATTCTTTTATCATTCTTTTAGAATGATAATTTAATCGTTCTAATTGAACGATTTCTTATTGTTTGTTTAGAATAATAACTTCAATCGTTCCAAAAAAATGATAAATATAATCATTTTAAATGATCTGAAATTTTTGGATTGAATTTTTTGCAATTTGAAACTGAATTGAAGTTGATCTGAACTGAAAATTTTTGGATTAATCTGAATTGTTTAGAGCTTTAAATAATAGTATTTTTAAATTTTAAAATTAATAATTATTAATATATATAAAATTTTCAATTTTTCAATTTTTAAAATAAATTATTATTTAATAATTATAAGAAAATAAAATATAATTCTTTTCAGTAATTACTTAACCAAAAATTTTTACGTAAAAAATGTGTATGTTCAATAGCAGTCACAGCTTAGTCTGCGAATAAAAAACAAATTCTCTTTTCAAACTTCTTTCTCTTTTTATTTTCTCTAAACCCTTTTATTCCAAAAAATAGTTTATATTAGTCTAAACAGTGATATTTTTTTTGTTAAAATATATTTTTTCCACTTTTCATAACTGTTTTTTTTTAGTTTTCTCCTTTTTCTTTTTGCTTACAAAAGTGAGCATTAGGGAGTATCTCAAATGATAATTAAAATTAATAATAATTTTAGATCAACCAATTACATGTGATAATTTTCCCATTACTTTCTTAAATAAGCATATTTTTTTTAGATCTCTAATGTTATAGAGCTTGCTGATTTTAGCAGAATTTTCAGTTTCTTATAACTGTATGATTTAGACTTTATGTAATATTTGCTGGTAGCAATAATCTGAATCAATAGATATTTTAGTATAGAAGTTTAAGAATATCAAAGATCTTCTAATAGAACTTAGTGATATAAGCACTCCTGTAATAAGAAGTCGTTATAACCAGAAATTTATCAGACAACTTAGCTAGGAACTTGTTGGATCAGATTTTTTTATTAGGTTTTTTTTTAGTTTAACAATAGTTTAAGTTATTTATTTTTATATTGAATTTAAATTTATGATAGGAATTATTGTTAGGTAAAAGAGAGGGGTGTAATAATAATTTAGTTATTGTGCATTAATGAAAACTCTATTATTAATTATCTTTAGAGTATACTAGGATAACTGGTTAGTCTAGGGCTAATAAGTTTTTAACTTGCAAGAATGTTTTAAGCAGTTCAATTTATTTTTTCTACTTTTATATCTGATTTTTAAGATTTTCATATATTAACCTATTGGATTTAAATTTTCATAATAAACATAAGCATTATCATATCTTAAAAAAAAAATAATTACAAGAAAATAAAATTTAGTTTATTGGATTTATCTCATTAAGATCTATTAAATAATTATATTTTTATATTTCTAAGATCAATAAATAGTAAGATATATAAGTTTAATCAATTTATATTATTTTAATTATTTATATTAATAGTTTCTATAAAGAGAATAATTATAAAACTTAGTTAACAAGAAAGAATTCAATTTAATTTTATCAAAATAAGATAAATATTATATATCTTATATGTAAACAAATATAATTGTTTATCTTAAATTTAAATTATATGTTATTTATAAAAATTAATATTTTTATTTATATAACCTTTAGAGCTCTTCCTAAACTATTGATTTATATTAAATCCTTTGTTAATTTTACATAAATACTTATTTTTCAGTTATTAATTTTATAAGATAATAATATATAATAAGTGTTAAGCTAAAAAACTTTTGATTAATTTGAATCATTTAAAATTATATTAAATATCAAAATCTGAAATAATTTTAAAATATCAAAATAATATTAAATAATTAATTAATTATAAGATCTTTACAATAGAAAAGCTGAAAAAAATAAAAATGAGTTAATGTTAAATAAGAATATATTTTGATTTAAAAATCATATTTGATATATAATAGTAAATTTGATAATTTCTCCCTTTATATTACAATGATCCAATATATATTTTAAGAAACTTTATATAGGATATTTACTAGAAAATCAGATTCTGAAAATTTTTTAACAAAATTTTTGATTTTTATAGTACTTTAGTTTTGATATTATTAGATTAAAATGTATTAAGGTCTTAATTTTAGTCAAAAAAATTTTCAAAACCTTTGTTTCATAAAAACCTTTTAATTTTAGTTGCATTTTTCTTTTTTAGTCTTAAAAAGAAATTGGACTTATTATTATTATTTTTATTTTAGGTAGATTCTTTTTTTTTTTTTTACAATTCTAATTTTTACTTGTTTATTTAAAAAATGCTTTTCGTAAAAGAAATCTATAAAGCATTATTCAAGCTTGTCAAAACCGATCTACATTTTTGATTGGTCGCAAAGTCAAATTTTATTGGTCGCTAAATCTGAACATATCTCGAACTAAAAAAATATTTGGCAGTGACCCACCCCTCTTTTATTACAACGTTTAATGATGAATTTTTGATATTAATTTTATTTTTTTTATTTTTGCAAATGAATGAGAACGAATTTTGAAATTTTTAGTGCGATTTTGGCGCAGTATAAAAAAGTTTTTGAATGTTTTTTTTTGTCGTTACACTGTGCAAAATTGATCACTGAAGTGTTACAGCATAATATATAAATACTTTTTTTCGTTTTATATTTACGAAATTTCACAAGCATTATGGTGAGTCCGTTTTATTTTTTCTGGTTCAATGATTTTTATTTATTTTATTATATTAGATCATAATCAGTAATAATCTTAATTTATATTTATATAGGCAACCGAAGAAGAAAAAAAAAGTTAGAAATTTTCCTTAATGATAGTTTTGTTTTAAAAAAAAAAAAAAAAAAAAATAATTTTTATCTGATTATATTTTATTATAGAGTATTATAGAGACTTCAAGCTTTTCGATAAAGAAGGTAATGATACAATTCCTAGTGAAAAACTAGGTGATTTGTTACGTGCTTTAGGTCAAAATCCAACAAATGCCGAAGTAGAAGAACTTGCTAAAGGAGAAGGTTCAAAAAGTAAGTAATTTAATTAATTCGTTTTGTTTTTTTTGTTTAAAAGATTAAATAGGAAAAGTCAATTTAAAATGTATCGAAAATATCAAAAAAAATTTTTTTTCTTAGTTAGTTTTGATAATTTTCTGAAAATACTTTTGCGCCCTGACGGATTTGCAGCTGCCGGAACTTATGAAGAATTTGTTGAAGGATTTCAAGTTTTTGATAAGGACCGGACTGGATATATAACAGCTGGAGATTTAAAATATGGTTTGTAAAAGCAAATATATAACAAATATAAAATGATGTATATATTAATCAAAATTCATTTATTATGTTATAGTATTGACTAGTTTAGGTGAAAAGCTTTCTGAGGACGATGTAGATGAATTACTGAAAACTTATGCTGATAAAGATGGGAAAATTAAATATGAAGGTAATAAATATATAATAATTACAACACGTTATAAATCTATTGTGTCGTGTTTTGCTAATTTAATATCAAATGATGTTTTTAGATTTTATAAAAGGAATTCTATCCACTTAAAAATATTTAATTAATATCTAGGAATTAATACACATAATATTTCTATGTGCTGTAATAAATAAATAAATAAATATTTATTTAATTTATGGATCCATCGAATAATCTATTAACCAAATTCTCCAAAGTTTGTGGATCATATTTGATATATTTTGTAGGATTTTTGGAAAATTCTGATTGTTGATGTTTTTCTAAGAAACGAATGTACATTGGCATTAAAACCATCTTGATATCTTTAATAACCTGTGAACGTAATTCAAGATCAGGTATAGCATATCCCTTATGTACTTTGTACATTTCTTCAAATTCTGTGTTGAAATTCTACGAAATTAAAATTGTAAATTTTTAATAAAATTTGTTTAGAAAAAAAAATATATATCTATATATAATATTTTTATATTTTTTAACATTTCGGTACCTTGAATTTTTCTTTAACATTTCCTTTTTCGTTGGATAATGCGGTCTTTAATGTCCCACCTCGAACCACTGAATCCATGAGATTTGCAAAACACGGCTTCCATCTAGTTCACAAATATACAATTGACTTCTAAATTGATTGAATATATTCAATGTGAAAAGACTCATCTTAAATAAATAACATACGTATCCAGATATCCATCATTATATCTTTTCACCATTTTCTCGTATTTATATCCAATCTCTTCTAAAATTGAGAAAAATTGTGTCCTTATGCTTTTCAAAACATAATGATAATTATTTAATAAGAAAATGCATGTCAAAGCAGTCTTCTTATATGATTTTGCTTTGAAATCTAATGTGATGGTCAAGCTTTCCAGAACATCAGCTGTACAGTTTAATATTATATAATAAGTTAAAATCCTAAAAAAAAAATTTTTTTTTTTATAAAAAATTACAAAATATCAAAATAAATATACCAAAATAATGTTGCAAAATAGCATTTGCAGACATGCCACGTACTGTTCTATCTCGTGAAAAATTAGGTTCTTTCTCTGAAACATTCCAATTACCATCTCCTAAAGTCAATAACATGGTCTCAACTGTTTCCTGATAATCAGTTAATCGCTTTAGGTGTTGTAAAGTCTTTTAAATGAATAAAATATACACGTTGTAAAAAATTCTAACTTGTTTGCAATAAATATATAATTCGTTAAACAAGTGAAAAATCGCAACATACTGTACTTGTCAACTCATGAACGGTACCGTCATTTGGAAGATTTGTCGTTTTTGTACGGTGATTCTATAGAAATATTTATTGATTAAATTAATTAAAATAAATTATTTTTTTAAAAAAAAAAAGTATTTTAATTTACTTTAATTTCATCTATAAATTCTGGGAATGAACGAAGTGCGGCTGCTCTCAATGAATGCAAAAGATCGCCATAAGATGAATCTTTTTTTCCTGCAAGCTGATTTTAAGATATCAGTTTTATTAATAAACATAAAGAGAAATAGAATACATAAAATTGTCTTAAATACCCTAAAAACTTCCTCAAACGAGCCACTATTTTTATTCAATGACTCCATCATATCAAAAGCCAAAAACACGTCCGTCTGCATATTTTTTTTCACACGATTATTTAATGTTCTACCAGTTTCAATATAATTATCTAATGGCATTTGTATAGCACCTCTGAATCCAGACATAACGCTTCCTGGGGGAAGTATTTTATCGGCTATTTCATATTCAGTCTAGTTTATTTAATTTAATTAAATAAATTAGACTTAAATCAAATTATAAGAGGAAACGAATAATATGCTTGCTTATAATACCTTGAACATTCTTAATAGAGCATCAGTATATGAGTTAAACCCACAAGTTCCTTTTTCATATACTAGGGTACTTCTTTTTTCCGCGGTGCTAATAGAACCTTGTGCTAACAAATTTAATGACTTTGCTAGATAATTTGATCGTACTTCAATATATGCTTTTACAAAATCACTATTGTAGCCTAGTTCTGGACCAGAAGTTGCAAGGTATGAAGATAATGTCGCAAGGTTTTGCAAAGGACCATTTGGTATTCCAGGGATATCAAGATCTGAAGATATTTATTAATTAAGATAATTTAAATAATAAAATTATAAAATTTTTTTAAATTTACTTTTTGTTATATAAGAAAGTGGTTCAATTGTGATGCTTCTGTTTGTTAAACATAAGCGAAAATGTTCCTCCAATTGTAACATGCCAGCTTTTAAAATTTGTTTCTATAATCGAAAATAATTTCAGCAAATATTGAATAAACACTAAATATTCTATTTATTAATAAAGTTGTTTCATACCAACTGTCCAATAACTTTTTCACTACTCTTTAGTCTCATTCCACCCAAAACTTCCATTGCTTTTTTACATTTTCCAATAGAATTTAAATAACATTCTAATTCACTTTCATTTATTCTAAATATAAATAAATATAAATATCAGAAATTCGATAAACAATGTTACAAAAATTATATTAGCACAAACCCTTTTTTTATTGTCATTTCCTCTCTTTCCACTAGATCAAAAAATCCAATGATCTCCAGAACTCCATTACGCGTCTTGTCAATATCTAAAAAAATACTGATATTAAATTCATGTTGAATTGATTGAATATTAATAAAGATTGAAAGATTCTTACTATCTTCCAACTTAGTTAATGTCTGTGTCGACTTATGAATTGGTAGGATCGATGCTTCCAATCTCACTAAGCGATCATCAAATACATTAAGCATGCTGGTCTAAAAAAAAAAAGTCTAAGTGGCTTATTAAAAATTTACAATAAAAAAAAAGGTTATGGACGAACCATCTTTTCTGTCAAAGCTTCGGTCTTTTTCAGATTTTCTTCAAGAAAATCAAGATCCGCACTTTCTTCATCAAGCCTGTCCATGTTGAATTTGATTATGTTGACAAACCAAAAAATTACAGGTATTAATAACTAATTAGTTCAAACCGAAAAAAGGGGTACACTAATTTAGCCCCCCAGTCTCTGATTGGATGGTATAATTGATTATACTTATTTGTAACATCCCATCGAAAAACATTTCAACTCTATTAAAAATATAATAAAAATTGAAACATCACCAGTATCACACCGGTGACAAATCACCTAATACCTAACCTCCTAACCCTAACCCTAACTAATCTCAATTATACCAGCTAATTATAAAGTAGATGGTAAATTAGTAAATCCATAATTGAGCATAAATTTGATTGATCAGATTGATCTTATCAAATATAATTGGTTTTACAGTATATGACAATTATATTATAATGTACTTTGATTACAAAAAAATTTATAATTGATATTTTTGATAAAATTTTATGAATTTATAATAAATTACTCTAAACTATTGGCTAACTGATTTAAAAAGAAACAAATCATAATAATGTAGTGTAATATTTACATTTTGGGTTTAATTTATCTATTTATAGTAAGATTTTAAAAATAATTTTATGATTTTTTTACTCATAAGCTTGTCAAACATATCAATTATAAGTTTTAAGGATCCTGTTACAAATACTTTTAGATGAAGATGAAGATGAAGAAAAGAAAAGTTTAAGTAAAAAAGAAGATTACATAATTTATGAATGGTTTTAATATAAAGAATTTCTTACCATCAATATTTGGATTTTATTATAAGATATATATATAGTTTTAAATATTATGTATTTAATTGACCTTTATATGATTCTAATTGATTTAAAAAATTCTTAAAAATATTTTTTTATAATTTTTAATATTAGCTAATCTAATACATTCTTATTCTATATTTTTATTACAAGAAATAAAGCTTTAAATTTATATTAAATTTCAATTAGCTATATTTTTTTATAGACTTAGATTTACTTAAAGTTTATTTAAAGTTTATTTACATTTTAGAATAGAAAAAAAAATAGTAATTCTTTATATCAAATAAATTATTTAAGTAATTATGATGTAAAAAAACTTTTGTTAAATACCTTACTTTAAAAAATATAAAAGTTTATAAGGATTTAAAAATTTAAGAAAATTAAAAAATATAATTAGTATAATAGATAGAATACATATTATTATGAAAAATATATCAACAAAGATCTAGAAGTTTATTTTACAAAAAGAAACATTTTGCTATTCATTATTAAGATATTGTAAATGATAAGAAAATTTTATTAATTTAATATAGGCTTAGCCTAATTTTATATATAGTTATTATAAAATTCTTTAATTTGGGTTAATTATATTCTTTAGTTTCTACTCAAGGTTACTAACTGCAGTTAAGATGTTATGATCTACTTAACTCTTAACTTTATTAAATTTACATATTAAATTTTAACAAATTCGTTAAGTATGAAGACTTGAAAAATAAGATTACAAATAAAATTTAATTAAAGAATTTAAATAACAAACTCAATTACAAATAATATATAAGGATTATATTAGATTATATAAAGATATAAAAAAACAGAAAGATATAAATTTTAATTAATTTCTTTATTAATATTAAAACTTATATATTTACAAATTTATAAAAGAGTTTTAAAACTTATAAAAAAGTTAATTTATAAAATAAGCAAAATGTTTATCTATTTATATAAAATTTCTTTTGTTACAGCTAAATCATTATATTATAAATTAATTAATTTGACAAATAAAATATAAGTAAACTAAATACTAAAAATAATAAAATAATAAAAATAATAATAAAATAAAATATTAAGAATAAGTATAAAATTGAATATCTTTAGACTTTGTTTAATTTGTAAAATTAGGATTATCATCAATATTTAAAAAATTAGCAGAATTACATAGATCTTCAATATTTTCTAAATTCTGGATTAAAAAATTATCATATAACATTATTCATATGATTTCATTATTATTTGATTAATTGCTTTACTAATAATATTATACTAAGATTTTTAAAAATTCTTTTTTTTACAAAATTATTTTTATTTATTTAAAAAAATAATTATTTTTGAATAATTTGGCTTACTTTATTTTATCTTTTTTAATTTTACATTTTAAAATTTAAAATTCTCAAAAACAAAAAATTTTAATCGTTTTTATTTATTTTATCAAATTATAATAAAAATGCTTTTTGAAGATTAAAAACAAGTTTAAAATATTAAGAAATCTAGATATTAAAACAGTTAAAATGAAATTTTATTTATACAGAGGGTCACTAAAAGTCTTTGAACACTATTTTTAAGTATGATTCAATATCAAAAATTTAATATAACTTAGCAATTTTGTGATTATATGATATTTTGAACCTTATTTATATGAATTGTACTTTAAAAATGCATTTTAAAATGATAATGGTAGTTTTTAGAAGGATATTTCTCAGCTTTATAATATGAAGTAGGAAAGAATTTTTAAGCAGAAAATAATATGCATGTTCTTTTATGAGTTATTTAAATTCAAACATCAGCCTGATTAAAATCTATGAGCTGATGTTAAGAAAAGCATCTTTGAAAGAAAAAAAATGCCTTCTAATATTGTTAAACTAGAGCAACATATTAAGAAGTCATAAAGAGAAATTTATTCTTACTATTAAAAATTTATCAATAATATATTACAATGAATTTAATCTATAATTAAGGCAAATAAAGGTCTAATCAAGTATTAATTAATTAGTACAAAATTTATTTTATATGTTATTTTTAATAAATATTTAATAAATTTTTTAATTAAATTTTAAAAATTTTAAATGATTTATTAAGCCAAAAAGCATTCAGAAAATCTTGACAAACCTCTATATATTGCATAATAATTTTACATAATTTCTTAAAAATTAATATAAATATTTAAGACATTAATGATATAAATAATGAAAATAATACAGATAGTGAAAATAATAATGATATTTAACTCATATAAGAAATAATAATAATATATTAAGAAGAACTAAATAGATTAAAAAGAAATTAGATTTTATGCTAATATTTTCTATAAATAATATTTTTAAAATTAACAGCAATTTAACTTTAAAATCATAGTAATCTAACTTTAAAATTAAACAATAATTTAAATCATTCTCAACTAGAATTTATATAAATATTTGACACATAATCATTTATTTAACTTAAAAATTTTATAATTTACTAGGTAAACAATCAAAAATTTATTAAACTATTTTTATTATTATTATTATTATTACAATTATTTAAAGCTCTGAATATAGATGAGGGACAAAACCCCTTAATAACAGTCAAAACTTAGATGAAACTATATTAAAATCATAATAAAAGATATGACGAAACCTTTTTAATATGACGAAAGCCGAAACTGTCAAAACTATATTAAAAATATAGAAAAGGGTATGATGAAATTATTTTGAGGAGGTTTCAGCAGGCATCTATAGCTCTGAACGGTTCGGATTAATCCAAAATTTTCAGTTTAGATCAACTTCGGTTCAGTTTTAAATTGCAAAAAATTCAATCTGAAAATTTTTGGTTCAGTTTGAATTTTTTTTGGATTATAAATCTAATCTGAACTGAAAAAAATCCGAACTGAACTGAAAATTTCGGATTAATCCAAAATTTCAGATTATTTGAAATGATTAAATTTATCGTTCTAAATGAACGATAAAGAATCATTCGATTGGAATGATAAAAGAATCATTTGATTGGAATAATCAAAATATCGTTCCAAATGAATGATAATAAAATCGTTTGATTAGAACAATAAGAAAATCATTCAATTATAATGATAAGAAAATCATTCAATTAGAATGATAAGAAAATTATTTAATTAGAATGATGAAATTATCGTTCTAAATGAACGATAAGAAAATCATTCGATTGGAATGATCAAAATATCGTTCTAAACGAATGATAATAGAATCATTCGATTGAAATGATCAAATTATCATTCTAAACAAACAATAAAAGAATCATTCAATTGGAACGATCAAAATATCGTTCTAAATAAACAATAAAAGAATCGTTTGATTAGAATAATTAAATTATCATTCATTTGGAATGATTAAAGTTATTATTCTAAATGATCCAAAATTCAAATTAATCCAAAATTTTCAGTTCAGTTCAGATTTTTACCAGTTTACAGTTTGGTTCAGTTTCAGATTGGCATTTTTAAGATTTTTAATCTGAACCGAACTGAACTAAAATTTTTGGTTCAGTTTTAGATTAGCTTATAATCCAGACTGAACTGAACCATTCAGAGTATTACAATTATTATTATTATTATTAATTGCTATTACTATTATCAATTATAATACTAAAGTATTATTCTGAAACTATTTTAATTGCATTATTTTTAAATCTAATCCTTTCTTTTTAAGTTTAAATTGTATTCATAATAACTTTATGTCAAATTTTATTTTTTTCTATAATGTATTAATTTTAATTTATTTAATTTTAATTATTTTTTTGTAAGAATTATATTTACTTCTCAATTTTCTTTTTCAGCTTTTTATTTTTTTTTAAATTATTCATATTTAAAATTAAATCATTTTTTTTTAAAATTACTTGTCATAAATTGCTTATAAAAAAATAGTATTCAATAGGTTTTATGATAAACTTTATTTAATACTTTGACTTTTCTTCAAACTTTCTTCTTTAATTTTTTTCTTTCCTTCATTTTCTTTTTTTTTAATAATATTAAAGAAATCAGTATCATTAAAATAACTATCTACTAAAAATTCTAAATTATAATTTTCATGAGTTTTAAATTTTTTCAAATTATTTTCATTTAACTTATGCTATTTCTTTTATTTGATTTTTTCTTTTTAATTTTATTATAATTTGTTATAAAATAAAATAATTTATTCATGATTTGTTCCTATAATTTACCTGAAAAAGTTGAATAAAAACTTTTTTAATAAAATTTGATTTATTTTTTTTAATAGCTAGTAAATTTTTCAAGAAAATTTAATAATAATATTG